CACTGGCTGTTTTATTCCAGATGGACAGAATATCCTCCTGCGGACGCACACTGGTGTCAGACTCACACACACAGTAACTCGTGACAAGATGATGTTTCTGATCCGCACCTGGAAGCGGATGGACACCACGACCCCGCAGATCTCCTCGCCCACCATGAACTGCTCACCCAGCATGGCCAGGATGATGTTCTCCCAGAAACGAGACGCCAGACCCTTCCTCAGCCGGATGATCCACTTCCCTCCGTTCTTATTGGCCTCGTCCTGATTCACACACACACACACATCAGAATCTGACGCTCACACACGAGGTGTGTTTACATGATCAAACCCAATCAATCTGAGCCAGTTACCCTAATATCTAATCAAGCCACAAGCCCTGTGAAGCCGTGGTTTACCGTGAGTTTATAACAGCTAAAGGGCATTGTTAGGTACGACGTGAAGCTGTTACAAATTCACTGTAGCCCACGGCTTCACAGGGCGCATTGCTTTTATAAAACAGTTATTCCATATACGTAGTAAGGTTTCACAAAATAAAACAGAGCAAATAAAGTGTAATGATATTAATAAACACAGTGTTCTTCCACCAAACAATGTAGCTCCTCAGAAACAGTTGTGGTTGCTACAAAGTGGTTGCCGAGCAACACACAAACGTAAACAAAGGTGTGTGTTACTTTGTAGCGTCATTCACAACAGCTTCGAACGCGGCTCAGCCAATCAGAATCAAGCACCGGAGCTCTCCGCTTTATCATTTAGAGTAAAGTATAATGCAAATGTGTATGCTGTAGCCAAAGACAAATTTCCACTTGAGGACAATAATAGCAACTAACTCAATTTCAGAAAAGCTTTTTTAGACATAATTAAATACTGTAAATAATAAGCTTCTTCTGAGAAACTAGTCAGATTCAGAGGTTTAGATGGATAATATTTTCTGTAACTGATCACAGCGTCCTGCAGCACATTTGTTGAATGAAATGCTTGCTTCGTAGTAATTTTGGAGCACTGATTTCAAAAATAGTGTCTGTTTTGCTCTTTCACGCCACACTTTCTCACAAAATATGATTCATTTTGTAGCATCTTCGCTTTTGACAGCCATTAGTGAGAAGCAGAAGTCTTGTATTCTGCCTTAATCAGTGGAAAAACACCCGATTCCTGTCTGAATCTGAGTCAGATTAACACTGCCTATCTTCACACGCGTGACATTATTTCATTCCTGATCCTGATTTCAAAGTTAGAATTATGATCCAGAGACGGGAGAAAATGCAAACATGAGCAGATGATTTCTGCCTTTGCTGCATACAAACAGACAGGAATCACAGATTTTGTGAAAAAATCTAAAAACTATAAAACAAACTAAATCTATTATCTATAAACCTCTATGTAAAGTTATTTGACGTTAAATGGCATATTTGATCATATTTTTCCTCT